CCTGGCTGTCCTCTGGGGGAACAGAGGGGAGGGGAGTTGCCACCAGACTAGCTGGGTCTGCACTGGCAGCACCCGGCCCCTGAGCAGACCAGGGGTTTGAACAGGCGACCTGGGTCACTGCCCCAAAGGAACGGCAGCAGAACTCAGACTGTATCGGATATTCGGTTCCGGGAGACAACCCCTAACCCCAACCCTTCAGAGACAGCACAGTACCATTTCCTGTGTAATCCCCAGCCTTGCAGTGCTACCGGATCAATCCACCCGGGCCCGGAAATCAGACGCTGCTCTGCTATGGAGGATGCAATGCCGCGTGTGCACAGGTGGGCATGTTCTCACCTGTGCTCTGCTCCCCACACCCGGACACAGATGCTCACTCTCTCGTTACACAGCACACTGCTGATGCTGCGACCGTTCACTAGGACAAGATCCTGGGGACTCTCCCCGTTAATGCAAAACCTTCCCACAAGCAGTACCCTCCTTGGTGAGGGTAAAACACAAAGTTTTAGCACTAGAGTGAGCTTTGTAAACATTAAAAACAGTTCAAAGAGTGAAAACCTGATAAGTTAAAATGATTTTTCCATAAAAGATACAATTAGTCTCTAACAGGGGGATAAAAACTACAGCATCACAGGGGTCATTTAACTCAATCAACACAATAATCCTCACTTTATCAAGAATCAGTTGAAAACCTTTCATAATTAGAATTTTCCCCAACAGTTTCCGAAATGGCCATTCGTGTATATGACCCTGAGGCACAGATGCTACAACTCTTTGTGCCTCTGAAACTTCAGTGAGAGGGTACATCGTGGTGCAGATTCAAGTATTTTCAAATCCTAGACAGATCTATTCAGGATCACTCCAGAACTCTTCTCAGGAATTTGAAAATCAGCACATACCCCTAAAATAGAGGTGTGTCCCCACCTGTGGTCCATGACGCCAGCAAATAGGCAGGAGTTCAGGCTGGTGTAATGGACTGTAGCTTTTACCCGAGAAGGTCAAATGACAGAAAATCTGCAGTCCAGCCTCAACGTATTCAGGGTAGGTAGGGAACTGGAAAACAAGGTGGTCTCCACATTCCTGGAGGAGAATCTGGGATTCAGGGAGGTGATTCATTTGAGGAAGAATCAAGGGATTCCCAGCAGGGTAGGAAATAGTAACCTACCCTCACAGGTCAGCAGTGCCATGGAGCCATCCTAAGGGGACATCAGCTTTTCCCATCCCCATAAAGCCCAGACCCAGCAAAGCTCAACCAGCACACCCATCACCAAGACCCTTAGTGTCACACATGGCTTTCCAGGCTTGTGCTGGCGTCTCGACGCCCCAGGCTTGGAAGGCAAGGGGGGAGGGGGGACCTCGGCAGCAACACTAAAGCTGGCCTGGAGCTTTAGTGTTATGGGGGCTGCCCAGGAATTGCTCCTGACCCACTGTTCCAACCCTGTACCTTCATTCCTTGATTTTTTTCCCTCCTAGCAGCCCACCTTTAATCCAAAGTCCTGACTTGTCACAAATATATATATGACATGGTGGCTCAGAGTCAGATGTGAAGCCTGTGCTCAGGGACAGTGAAGACCTAAAGTGGACACAGCAGCCAGTGATGCCAGTGGCTCCCACAGCCACCAAACTGGAGGATCCTGTGGGCCCCTCCTGCCCACCTCTGGCTGAACAGCTGGGTACGTGGGCCCCGCCTCACACACCTCCCAGCAGGGCCATTTGGAAAACCCTTTCCCAAAATGAACTTTTACCAAAGAGGACAAAATTCAACTTAATCACATGAAAATCTGACGTGATGAGGGAAAAAAAACTTGACTGAAAGGACGGGCATGAGGATAGAGGGAAGAGGACTCTGGCGCGTCCTCACGTGTCCAGGCGCTGGATCTCCGGGCGAGTGTCCACATCTCTGGACTCTGTGCGCGCACGGATGTAGTCATTGGCGCTCTGCTGGCGGAGGCTGACTCTCCACTTCTGCACCGCCAGGAACGTGTTCACCGCGTACACCGCGGTTGCCAAGAAGCCAAATATCTACAAGAAACAGGCCCAGTTAGTCCTCAGGCACGTCAGCCCTCAGCGGGGTCACAACAGCTTACAGAGACCCCAGCTGCGGCTGCCCCTTCCAGCTGTAACTCCCACGCTCAGCCCCGCTCAATGTTCAGCTGTCAGACCATGGCCAAGTCTGTGGTCACCTGACCAACATAAAAGTAGCCTAAGGTCTCTTTCGAAGCATTTTGGATCCATAAAGGGAAAAAAAAAAATCACAAAAGGGCTTCTTTTACAGAACCTTCGTAACACTGCCCCAGGGAGAAAACACAATGTAGACAAAACACCATGTAGATGAAAACTCAGGGTTTCTTTCACGTGTGAGCCTCACATCAAGCCATAAGGCCTAACATTCCAAATCCCAGCCCCGGAGCCACCATCTGCTATCCAGCTGCCTCTCACCTGGGCAGCTCTGGGTGGCAGCAGTGGAGTTTTAATAATTTAATAATGATCCATGAGTCTCCTGAGTGACACCTGGGAGAGCAGCTAGTTTAGTATTTTTATAAACCTGTTAACCACCTCCCTTCCATTACAGAAGTGCTATATATTCTTTGTAAATACAGAACAATATGAAATGAAGAGCAGAAAGTGAAAGTCTTACATTATCTGGTTCCCACCCACCACTGCATGCCACTGACTGCTGCCTGGTGTCAAGACTGCGTCTTCTTCATTAACAGCCACACTGGCAGGGAAGGCCCTTAAAAGCAGCACCACTAACAGACATCCAGGGCTCTGCTGGAAAGAGACTAACGCAGAGGTTCTCAAACCTGAGTGTGCATCTGAGGACTTGTGAAAACACATTTCTGATTCAGCAGCTCTGAGGGAGCCTGAGAAAGGCATTCGAACAAGTTTCCAGATAATGCTCAGGCTGACGTTTCGGGGATCACACTTTGAAAATCACAGCACTGGGAACTGGGACCTCCGTTGGCCCAATGACAACATCGTTGGGCACATGCCAGAGGACAGTCAAGCAAGTCACAAAAAGTGGACAAATCAGCCCTGCTTTAACCTTTTGAGTTCACTCACCACGGCAGCAATTTCTGCTCCGGTTTTGTGGTTTAAAGCAGCCAGTACAATTGAAGCAATAAAGAAAAAGAAAGTGCTGAGTCCAGTGTTGACCAAATCCTAAAGAAAAAGATAAAACAAAATCACTTGAAAAGAATTATTTCATGCTTTGCCCTAAAGGCCACTGAAGAACTTTCTAAATAAAAAGCACAATACCCAGCCTCTCTGATGGCTCCATACTTTAGTCTTGATGGCCCAGGGACAGGTATTGGTCACAGAGAGGAAGGCAAAGATGGTAACAGTTAAGGATCCTATTTGATAAACCAACACAGCAAAATCCACATTTTAACCAACCATGTCACGCCACCATTTCTTAATGACTTACTATAGAAACCAAACTGCTAACCCACAAAGACATGCACACTAATTACCACTTAGAGTTCTATTGTCATCTTTTCAAAACACATTCAGATCATCTTGGCATAAATAAAAATGGACTGGAACTGGCAAAATCCCCTCATTCATTCGTGGCACGTCAAGCGCACTGTTTTCAGACCTAGAGAACACACTTAGCCAGGCCTCATCCTCTTTTTTATGCAGGGTCTTTCAAGTCTCCACGTTGCTAAAGCCTTGGGAATTTCCCCTAAGCTTCTTGCAAAGCAAATCAGGTTACAAATTCAATGCTTCAGAGATTTAACTCCTGTCTTACTTGTCGAGAGGAAAATAGCATAATGATTAAGAGTCACAGTCAGATGAGGGTCTTAATCAACCATGACCTTGGACAAGCCACTTTGCTTCCCTGTGTCTTATGTGGACATAGTACCCTCTCCTACAGGAGCTATTTTAAGGATTAGGTGAAACTACGCACATGAAGAGCCGAGCATGGTGCCTGGCCCACGTTTAGGGATCCCTGCACACTTACTGTTACTTCTGATATTACTACTCTGGCATTAGGCTCCGACAGCCCAGGCTATACCAGACTGCCTCTATAATCTCTACAGGGGAAGAAAATCCAGGCAAAATCGTAAACTGCCTAAGTGCCAGGCTGACTGTACCACTGACACCAGTGGGTCCTCCTGGCTGGCCTGGCTTCAAGGTCCATCTCCTCTTTAAAGATGCAAAAAGGCAACATTCACATCATAAAAGTACTGAGCCTGTGCTGCAGGACCCCCACACTCCTGGCCAATGCTTCTGATTACAAACTCTGATCCGAAATATCTGCCAGCAGGACAGTTTCCAGCAGTGACCAGCATGAAGCCAGGGCAAAGTCTTCACAGATTCAAACAAGTGTTTAGTTACCCCCCCTCATTAAGGTGTAAGGTGCTATAGGGATAAAGAAAAATATAAAATGTAGTTTCCAAATCAAAGACTATTCAGAACAGGGGAAATGTTTTATGTTACAGTGCTAAGTACAAACATCAAACAAAATAGTACGTAAATTAATGATGACTATGTAAAAATATGTGTGGTAAAAGGCAAATAAGGATAAAAGGTTTTGAAGAGTTTATGTTATTTGTCGATTTGAATTCCACCTTTAGAAATTCATCTTAAATGGCATACTAGCAAAAAAGCTCTAAGCATAAGGATCTTCACCAGATTATTTAAAAAGCAAAAAACTGAAAGCAAACAAAATGCTTAAGAATAGGGGATTTGTTAAATAAAATAGTATTTCCATAATGGAACACTATGCAGTCATTAAAAGTAATGATACAGTCGCATATTTAACATGGAAGATATTCAAGATAGTTTAAATGGAAAAGCATGACTTTAATGGTTCCATTTTTTCTCCACTCACATATCACAACATACATGCAGATGTGAAAGACAGTCTAGAGAAAACAGTCTAGAAGATTACACTCCCATATTACATGTGGTACCTCTGGATGGATTGTATCACATATGATTTCTTAACAGCTTTACTGAGACACAATTCACATCCCGTGTAATACGCCCAATTAAAGTATACAACTCAATACCACAGTGTAATTTTAGAACATTTTTAGCACTCTGAAAAGAAACGTCACACTCATTAACAGTTAATTCTTCATCTTTCCCTCTAATCCTAGGCAATGACCAATCTGCTTTCTGTCTCTATGGATTTGTCTATTCTGGACATTTCATACAAATATAATCATTATATGTGATCTTTCGTGACTGGCTTCTTCCACTTAGTGTAACAGTTCTAAAGTTCCTTCATGTTGTAGCATATATCAGTACTTCACTCCTTTTAGTTACTGAATAATACTCCGTTGTATAGGTAAACCACATTTTATCTTTTAATCAGTTTCTGGACATTTTGGTTGTTTCCACTTTTTGAGTATTGTGAATAATGCTACTATGAACTTACAAGCTTTCATGTAAACATATGTTTTCACTTCTCTTGGGTCATCACATGATTTTACTTCTTTTTCTCCTTTATTATCTGAATCTTCCTATCTTCCTGAGTTTTCCTATAACATTTATTACTTGCACAGTTTAAAAGGCTTAAAATTGAAACACTGCAAAAGTTAGTCAGCATCAACTGCTTGAGTTCCTTGGCCATGAAACCACATCTTGCAGATTCCCCTTCACATTCAGGAGCACACATAGGCATGCCCTCAGATGTGAATTTTGAGGGTGTTTAGTCGATACTGGCTTAATTTTTTTAAACGCTTTTCATGGGACATGTACTTACCAGCCACATGCTTCTTAGTTTGTCATAGTTGCCCCCACCCCTGCAGTCCCACATCCAGCCACTTTATGTTCCCTGTCTGGCCCCCAGAATAGCCAAGGCTGCAGCCCCTCCTGACGCCAGGAGATGAGGAAGAAGGGCACCCTCATACACACATGCTTTTGGGTCTCTCCAGTAACATGCCAATAAGCACAGGTGTGAGCCAAGTAACTCCAGTAGCAGATCAGCAGGATCTGGCCTGGGGGCGCTAACTCGAGGTCTACTGGCCACGTCTGGCTCACAGATAGGTCTGACTCGTACAGTCTTCAAAACAAATTTGAACAAGCCAATGTTTAAACACCAGAAGACTGCACATTAAAATATCTCTTAAAAAGAAAAAATAAACATCTTTTAGCTACTCTTGAAAAAATGTTCTGAAGTCCCACGAAGTAATAACGCAATAGGCTAGGACTGAGCAGAACCACCTGAGCCCCAGCCCACCTTCTCACGTGCCCAATTCCATCACATGCCCAGAGTCTATGACCCTATGACCCTGCTCCAGGCCCAGAGAATGGGCCGTCCAACAACGTGCCCCACCCTTCGGACTCTGCGACCTGCTAGCACCTTTCTACTCATCCTTCAAGGTCTAAATGGAACTTGGTGTCTTCTCTGAACTTCCCTGACTGATCTGCTCTAGGCCCACAGCCCCAAGGAATCTACCACTTCCTTGCCCACGTTCTCCCAGGCCTCCCTCACACAAAACTGGATCACGCTGAGCACACACGCCACGGGAGTGCAGCTGGCATCTACCCACCCAGGGCTTTCAGTTCCCAAAACCTGGCCCAAAGCAGGTGTTCAATACATGTTTGCGGAACTGACCACAGTTGAGGCATCTGTGAACAGGTTCCGGGCCGGGCTGCCACTGCGATCTCTCTGAAACCACTGGGTTCCATGGCTGGCTCAAGTCTCAGCTCCACACACAGATGAGAGAGGAAGTTTACAACCACTCGGTCCATACTGTGCACTCACTTGCGCTAAAATGGCCCCAGTATCAAAGGGGTGATACAGTACTAACTGTAGGCGCAGCTACCATTTACAGACAGCCCACTGCGCCAACCATATTTATGAAACTTCCTATGTCTCACTGAATCCTAACCTAATTATGGTCCAAAATACGTCTAGTGTGGAACATGTTATTCCATTTGTCTTTACAGACGAGGAAACTGAGTCCCAGAAAGGATGAGTGTGACGTAATGAAAAATATCTTTTTGTCCAGATTCCTTGGAATTTCCTGAGTGACAGGAGTATCTTTTATCATTCATAACGAACCCCTTTCAACTGTCCCTGAGTTTATGCTAATGAGGTGACTCTCTGGAACCTCTTGACAGTTTCAGGATGGGGACTGGTTATCAGAAAAACCAACCAGGTGATTAGAAGGTTGGAACTTTCAGTCCCACTGTCCCAACCTCCAGGGAGGGGAGAAGGGCAGGAGATTGAGTTCAACCTCCAAATGGTTGATGATTTTAATCCATCACGCCTACTGAATGAAATCTCCATAAAATCCTGAATGACAGGGTTCAGGAAGCTTCCATGTGCCAGAAGGATGTTGCCCCCTAACTTTATGGAAACAGACTCCTCTGGACCCTCCTTCTCCATCTCTCCCATTTGACTGTTCCTGAATTGTATCCTTAATAACAAGCCGGAAATCATAAGTAAAGCACTTTTCTGAGTTCTATAAGTTGTTCTAGAGAATTACTGAGCTCCCAAATTTGCAGTTGCAGGCAGAAGTGCAGGACACCTGGGACCCCATCTGTGGCTGGTGCCTGAGTGGGGCAGTCTCATGGAACTGAGCCCTTAACCTGTGGGGTCCACCCTGACTCTGAGAGTCAGTATCAGAACTGAAGTTAATTGTTGGATATCCAGTTGGTCTTGGAGAACTGCTCAGTGAGGAAAAACTACATGAATTTGATGTCAATAAAAAAACCCACATATTTTGTGTCAAAAGTGGTATTAGAAAACCCCACACAATGAGTCATGGCCAAGGCCTCAGGACTCTGCAAGTGGCCTTTCTGGGTGACTCCAGGCTGTTCTCAACTCACCACAGAAGCCAGCCTGGGTTCTCTGATAAGGAGATACATGTAGGAGGAGCAGGGGCCACAAAAGCCACTAAGAAGAAACACCAAAGAGGAAGAAAAACTAGGAGATTATGGAATCATCAGAGGCAAGAGGATAGAGTACAGCAGGAAGGACTGAACACATTCCAGGGCAGATACTGCCAAAACGGGGCAGGGGTGCTGGGAAATAACCAGAGGATCCAACAGCACAGAGGCCCTCAGTGATCGTGACCAGAGGACTTTCAAGGACATAAAGTGAGTGGAGTAGGTGGGGGAGGGGGAAGAGGCAGTTGCTGTATTGGAGAAAGACATGTGGGAGGCTTTCGGGATGCTGACACTATCCTATCTCTTGACCCAGTTGTTGGCTTACACAACCTTTTATTGTTCTTCACTAAATACATTTACTTTTAGGAATTTTTCTGATTATGCTGTACTTGACAATAAAAGCTGAGAAAAGAGAGATCAGGAAGCAGGGATGGAGAGAAGGCATGCACAGACCTCCCTTCTCTTCACAAAGTTTGGCTGAGCTCACAGGGCTTGATGCGCTCTGAGTGGGAGCCCCCGGTGGTCAGTGGTGGGAAGAGAGGGATGAAGTTGGGCACAAGGCCAGTGGTACCGCTGGAGGTAAATACAGGTGGAACACACAGCTGTGTGAGCTCCCAATATACAAAGAAAGACAAGCATCACAGAGTAAGTCCCGTAGATTTATTTTTTTTAAAAAGCTGACATTGACACAATCTTTCTGATTGCATCAAATTACGCTGGTATAAAAATGCATACTTTTCCTTGTCCTCCTTATTTACCATTTTTCATGCATATGTGAGTCAACCTAGCTCCTAAAATGACCATTTTTCTAAAACTATACCAACCACACCCTATTTCACTCATCAGCTGGCTCTGTTGAAGTCAAGTGTACTCCCACCACCTTGTTAGAAAAGCAACCCCTGATGCCAACCCTCTGGAGAGACTTGATGAGCTGCGTCCAGCCCTAAGAACTCACTTTTGCTCCCCTCCCAGAGAAGAGATGACCTGTGCTCCCATCAGTAAGTACCATCTCTTCAAGTTCACATAACTCACATACTCTTTTGCTGGATAAGCAGACAGCTTCATCTGCTCTAAAAGAATGGAAATTCCGCAAAGGACAGAAAGTGTTCTCAAGTGACCACATCAGCACCCAGCCATCTGCCCCAACCAACAACATCCTGGAGTACAGGAGGGATATTAACTTTCCAGTGAAAAAGATGCACTTCATTGTGACCCAAATAATGTGGTTGTCAGACAGCAGAAAGTCTTTCATGATTAAAGTAGAAAAACCAGAATTTCAGAAAGCTCACTAAATAAGTATTTCTGGAGGTAAAGGCCAGTATGAATTTAGTTAGAAATCTGAATTAAGTCTTTTTTGTTGTGGTGGTGGTGGTGGTGATCTGTGATCAGTGAAGTATAGCTGATTTACAACATTAGTTTCAGATGTAAGGCACAGTGGTTCAGTATTTTTGCAGATTATACTCCATTACAAGTCATTACAAGATAATAGATATAATTCCCTGTGCTACAAAATATAGCAAAGTAGGAAGTCTTTTAACAGATTTATGGCTGTCAAATAAGTAGATAAGACAGAATCAAGGGAGTGAAGCCAAATCTGGTGGAAGTCTACAGGAGAATGATGTGGTTGACAGACAACATGGTAAAGTCAGTATTTCTCATACTGGCAGGTTTGATGCCTTTATACACATTGTCTCATTTTATTCTTAAAACAACCCTGAAAGAAAAATATTACTGTCTCCACTTTACGATTGTGAGACTCTTGCCTAGGGTCACACACAGCTCTTAAGAGCCACCTTGGACTTAAACGCAGACAGGTCCACCTGATGACTCAAAGCCCCTGGATCTTAACCTTCCCAACAGCTGCTTCTATGTCAAATAGGTCCTCCAGTACGGTTTCATTCACAGCAGCCCAGGCCCTCCCTCAACAACTATTTACTTGGGCCTTAGAAACACCAGGGATCTGGGTTACCAATGAACCTTGCCCCATGGCAGTGACCTTGCCCCCATGGAGCCTGCATTTTGGTTGGGGAAGGTTTGTGAGTCTCTCTTGCATTACCTGTTCACTACAGTATCAATTCAGATCACAATTCTATAAGCATTTTCTTATGGAGAACACAGGCTTCATCTTAAAGAGTTGAGACATTAAAACCTGTCACAAAAACTGTGACAAATGCCTCCAGTAGCTTGAGGTTTTAGAGCTTTCTTCTCAGTTTCCAATGCTGGAATAAAACCAGCTGAATTTGCAGCTGACAACTTTTCTAGTCCCAGTCTCCTTTGATTCTTCCTCCTAGAAGAGTCTCAACAACACAGAGAGCATTCTGTCAGGAAGACCCTCTCCTCTTGACTCCCTCACGGGAACACAGGGGAGTGGCTCTGCCAGACAAGGTGCCTGCCCAGGCCTCCTCCTCCCGGGATCCTGCACTCGAGCTCACTTCTAGTGCTGCACACACCAGCCCCGGTCAACAGGAGAGGAGCTTGTGCAAGGGCAGGTGGTCTCAGCCCTGTCCCCACGCTCTGCCCCCTACAGGCACAGAAGAGGCAGTGACAGCGCTTGCCTTTGTCTCCAAGACAGATTCCCTTTGAACTACTGCACCTGCTTGTTTCCAAAGAAATATCAAGAAAACCAAGTGCTACTTAGTTTCCTTTCTCATTTAGCACCATAAGGACAAGTAAAAGGGGCCTAGGAGTGTCCAGCCCTGAGCTTCCCATGCCAGTCAGAGGGTGAGGTTGTCAAAGACCCCAGACAACGGAAAGAAGAGTACTCGTTTTCTCAAGGCTCTCTGATCAAATCACCAGACCCTCCAGGTCTTCCCCGCTGCTCTGAATTTAATATTTCTAGGTTTCACAAGTTAATGGCAGTTTCATTTATATTTTCAATTCTTCCTGTATCAATACTTTTGTAAATGGCTTTTGGGTCTAGTGTGAAAAATATGCAAGTGTATTAATTCCATTTTCTCTTTCCCATATTCTGTAAATATCGACATTACCAATCTTCTCAGAGAATCCCAAAATCAATAACTTTAAAGAGGTCAAAATAATTGTTATGACATTCCTGACATTAGTGAAGATTCAATTTATTTTGTAGTAGTTTTATTCAACCTAGTAAGGAAATTTAAAATTTCACAGTTGCATTACAATGGAATATTTAAGTATCAAAATGCACTGGAACCGAACACAACATGGAGCGATTCCAACTTTCCCTGGGAGCCATGTAGCATCCGATCCCTTCCCAGTCAGAGAGCGGTGACATCTACTCACTGTCAGGTTCCAGTTGATCTGAGGGATCCTCATGTGAAGGTTGAGACTGAACAGAATCAGCAAGACTCCAGTCACCACAAACGCACTGCAGCTCACAAACTCAAAAAAGTAGAGGCCTTCACACGGGGAGCACTCCATGATGGTCTCTATGCAGATAAACGCAATCAGGGCCAAAATCTAGGAAGAAAATTGCAAACACACATGTACGTGTATGATGAGTACACATCCATGGACACATGTGTCTGCCACGTTTAAATAAAACACCACCACCACCACATACAGCCACAGAGTTTTCCCCAGGGGATGGCAGTACCATGGTCAGGAACGTGACCAGAGTTGATTCTTATGTAAGAACAGGTATAGAGGCCTTACTGGAACGATCAAATTCCTAATGTGAACAACCAAGCCCCACCATGGGCCACTGACACCAGTCTGGGGCCACGCAGCTCCTTGTGAGGAAGCAGAAAGGAACATGTCCGAGATATAGTTCTACCCCCGCCGCTAGTAAGTGGGCAATGCCTCCACACATTTCATTTATAGTCTCCACCACAATGATGTCGAACATTAAGGGAGCGGGGGCCTAACGGTGTCCATTTTACACCATCTGCAACTAACTCAGTGGTTCAGCTGAGATCACACAGGCTGAGACCCCTGATGGCTTTAGAAGGATTCATTTAATCCCCCTTCCCCCATTTAGAAGTCCCACCTAAAAATGAGGCCCATCTACTTAATTCATGAGCTATGCTTTTTAAAAGTTTATCACTGGACTTGATCACAAAGAGATGGGCTGGTAGTTTATAAAGACATTTTAAATCCACCAACAACAGAATCAATTTCTTTCTAAAGTACCAAAGTAACAGTCTAGCAATATGCACCAAGAGATCAGAGATCATGAAGGCAAACAGGTTATCAGTGGAATTCACCAGGTGAGCTTTTAAAGCAGGAGAAGGCCCAAGGGCTGAGTTAATGGCCCTGTGATCAAGGAAAGGCCAGTGGTCTCACACCTAAGACCACCCCAGTCTTGGGCTCCTGTACCTCGCTTCTGTAACTGAGCACGTCGCCGCCCACATGTCAAGCCTGTGCCAGAGCTTCCAGGTCGGCCCCCAACTCCAAGGTCAAGGAAGCAAAGGCAGGCAGGAAGCTCTGAGGTCCCAGATTTGTCTCCAGGGCCAGCCACATCAGCATCAGGGAGCTTGTTAGAAATGCAGAATCTCTGCCCCTCCTCCTTGACCTACAAAGTCAGAATCTACTTTTCGGACAGGATCCGCAGATGACTGAAGTGTGGGAAGCACAGGAGGCACGGCCGGTTCCGGGGCCCTTCTCGGCCTACTGGAGCCCCACCTGTGCTTTTCAGTCCAGTGCTCAGCTCACCTCCTCCCCACACCCTCCCTGACTGTGCCTCTCCTGCCAGATGCCATTAGACTCCACCCTCTCCCAGGGAAGCCTGCTCATCCGTGGTTTCATTCCACCTTTTGTACTTGCCACTGAACCTCTGCTGCCTGAGCTTTTTGAGGGCAGGGGCTTCTCCACTCCCAAGGCACCAGGCACACTAAGCTGCACAAAGCCAGCAAATCGGCGTTCAGGGAGCATCTATAAACCCACAAACAATTCCTGACAGACTAGTCAGTCTCCACATGAAAAGAAGGGAGGCTCTGCTTTTTCCACAGTCGATACTTCCACGTGGTGACCATAAAAGACGCCTTTCCTAACGGTACGTGGTCCTATCATATTTCTACTCAAAGTCAACACGTTAAAAATGTGGGTTTTAAGCACACACTTTGTTTCTCCTAATGGCTCTCCTTATAATTCTCTACAGAACCAGAGACTTTAATTCTCCATCTGAATTACATGCCTGACTTGCAATCAATTCACAAAGAAATAGTTCATATAAGGGAAACTCCTAAACTTTTTTTTTTACCCCTGTAATTGGATCTAGTAATCTTGGGCAAGAAATAACACACTGTACTGATGAGTTACAAATGTTTCTGGTATGCTAACTTCAACCATATTTGTGTGGGAAGGTAACACCTACATTCTTCAATATTAAAATAAAAATGGTCTCAAGAACATGTAAATATAACAGACCATTCAATACAGCCATGAACAAAACAGAAGTCCCTGCTCTCTAGCTCATATGTTAGTGAAGGAGAAGTTTTTAAAAATTAAATAATACAGCATGTTTGACAGTGATAAGCACAAAGGAGAAAAATGAAAGCAGTGAAGAAGAATGAAATGTAACTAGGGCAAGGGTGTCTGAAATTTCAGGCAGAGTGTCCACGGGAGGCCTCTCTGAGAAAGTTCTAGATTTATTACAAAGTTTGTTACAGTTTATTATGAAGGATGTTAAAGGATACAACTGAAGAGCCCGATGAAGAGATACACAGGGCAAAGTCCAGAAGGGTATCAAACACAGGAATTTCTGTCCCCCTGGAGTCTGGAGCACCCCTTCCTCCCAGCACCTGGATGCGCTTTGGTTCACCAACCTAGAAGATCAACTCTCGGGTTCAAGAGTTTTTATAGAGCTTAATCTGTAGCCTCCTCCCCTTTCCAGAGGTCTGTAAGTGGAGCTGAAAGTTCCACCCTCTAATCAGGTGTTTGTTTGTTCCCCTGACAACCAGCCCTCATCTTTGGTACTTTCCAAAAGTCATCTCATCAACACACTCAGGTGTGGCTGCAAGGGTTTGTTATATCAAAAGAAAAAACATCAAACACCTCCTATCACTTAGGAAATTCTAAGGGTTTTAGGAGCTCTGTGCCAGAAATGGAATGAAGACCAAATATATTTCCTCCTTATTATAAGTCACAGTATCACAAGTATTCTCATGTAGAGAGATATAGATACATAAACACATACACACAACTATACACATTGAATAATTTAATCAACCCCTATTGATAGGTATTTAGGTGGTTTCTAATAGTCTAATAAGCAGTACACTTTTTTAAAATTGAGGTACAGTTTGTGTAAAATATTAGGTTTCAACTGTACATCAGTGATTCACAATTTTTAAAGGTTATACCCCACTTATAACATATTGGGAAAAATTCACCACGTTGTACAATACATCCTTGTAGCTTATATTATACCTAATAGTTTGCACCTCTTAACCCCTTAACCTTATATTGCTCCTCCCCACTTCTCTCTCCCTACTGGTTACCACTAGTTTGTTCTCTACATCTGTGAGTCTGTTTTTTGTTGAATTTACTAGTTTATTTTTTTAGATTTCACATGTAAGTGATATACAATATCCGTCTCTGACTTATTTCAGTTAGCATAATATCCTCCAAGCCCATGCATGTTGTTACAAATGGCAAAATTTCATCCTTTTTATGGCTGAGTAATGTTCCATTGTATATATACACCACATCCTCTTTATCCAGTCATCCGCTGAAGGAGATTTAGGTCGCTTCCATATCTTGGCAACTATGAATAATGCTACTATGAACACTGAGGTGCATGTATCTTTCCAAATTAGTGTTTTAGTTTTAGTCAGATATTTATCCAGAAGTGGAATTGCTGGATCATATGGTAGTTCTGTTTTTAGTTTTCTGAGAAACCTCCATACTGTTTTCCATAGTGACTGCACCAACTTACATCTCCACCAACAGTGTACTAGGGTTCCCTTTTCTCCACATCCTCACCAGCATTTGTTATTTGTGGTCTTTTTGATGATAGCCATTCTGACAGGTGCGAGGTGATAGCTCATGGTGGTTTTAATTTGCATTTCTCTGACGATAATGATGTGCATTTTTTTCATGTGCCTGTTGGCCACCTGTTTGTGTTCTTTGGAAAAACATCTATTCAGGTCTTCTACTCATTTCTTAATTGGGTTGTTTGGGTTTTCTTTTTGTTTTGGTGTTTTTTTAACACCTTTATTATGGTATGATTCCTGTACAATAAACTACACATATTTCTTTTGGGGTTTTCTTGATGTTAAGGTGTATGAGCTGTTTGTATTGTTGGATATTAAGCCCTTATCAGTCACATCATTTGCAAAAATCTTCTCCCATTCAGTACATTGTCTTTTTGTTTTGCTGATGGCTTCCTTTGCTGTGCAAAAAGCTTTTAAATAAGTTTAATTAGGTCCCATTTGCTTATTTTTGCTTTTATTTCTTTTGCTTTTGGAGACAGATCCTAAAAAATATTGCTACAATTTATGTCAAAGAATGTTCCATCTACGTTTTTTTTCTCCTGATTTCATGGTTTCTCATCTTACATTTAGGTCTTTAATCCATTTTGAGTTTATTTCTGTATATGGTGTCAGACTGTTCTACTTTCATTCTTCTACATGCAGCTGTCCAATTTTCCCAGCATTACTTGCTGAAGAGACCGTCTTTTCTCCATTGTATATTCTTGCTCCCTTTGTGGTAGATTAATTGACCACCAAGTTCTAGTAAGCAGTGTATGTTTTTTGCCTGCCCTTTGGCACAGCAAATGTCAAATTTCCTCCAGCACAGTGAAATCTAACCATCATCGCTACAGTAAAACCTACCTATTGGCCAACAGGACGAAAATAGGGACTGAAAGTTATACTGGGAGACAACAACTTCAAAGCAACTGAAGAGTCGCAAGTAATTCAACTTAAAACAATTTTGCAGTAGACAATATCACATGTAAAACTGTACAGAGATGTTCAAGAAGATGCAAATATGGAACAGCTGCTGTAGTTGCTAATCCAGAGATCACAAGTGCATCCTTGGAGGAAGCCCTTTCCATGTAGCACCTACCAACTGACCAGGAGTAAATATTTTTATAGTTGATAAATTGACATTAAAAGGTTGTCAGATTTCTATAACTGCAGCTAATTATGACTGGCAACATCAAAAAGGAAGCAGGGGAGGGAGCGGTGGAGGGGAACGGCTGGCTGATTAAGTTACCATAAAACTTTTTAAGACTTCACAAAACTCCACGTTAGTGCTGGTGGGAGTGTAAACCATCAGGACCCTTCTGGAAGGCTGTAGGAGTAACAGCACAGCTCACAATACACCCTGTTCTCCTCCCTCCAGACACGCTGTAGGATTAAAGATTTCTGCTTAGAGAGTTTCCCAAAGCAGATTTCTTCTCAAAATGATGAAACTTTTGTTCCAACTGCCCATCTATCACAATTCCTTTTGCCAGGTGGTGGTGCAATAACAATGGACATTTTGGGGATTTGGCTAATTGGAAGTTGAGTAAG